AACTAACAATAATACATGTAGAATTCTATCAAAGTATTATAAAAATATCTGTACAGAAAATATTTTAATACAATCAAAATTGATTAATCATCATAAAATGGTGGATAACAAGCAATATTGTTAATTAAGTTCAGCTTAGTAATCAAACATAACTATAAGCATCAAATGAAAATGTGTAGAAGCATTTGTCTGGTAGTATACAATTGTAAGCTAGCAAGCAAGAGAATCGTATAAAATCTAATTTTATTGCAGCTCTTCCCACTTTCAAGGAAATTACCCGTTTTACAACACACTCGATTCCAGTGCAATTTAAGTTAGTAATTGTTGCTTTTGCTTGTATTTCAAACAATTAGACATAACCTTTCATGAACATTGTATATCAGCAGATATGTAGCCAGGGGATTAGGGGCTGAAGCCCTCCCAAATATCTAAGGGGGGAATAATTATGTTTTGCAAATGCATAACTGCATATGTTATTGTAAAATATCAGTCATCAATTTTTTAAGGATCCTTACCCTAATGAATTAGGCTACTAAATAATTAAATAATTGTTCATAAAACAAATTCAATAAGCACTTAGCCTATAACAACAATGTTATACGATTTTATCTTCATCCATTCCCATATAAATAAATAATAAAAATGCCTTTATTTACAAGCGTCTTTCGGTACAAGAACTGTTTTACAACGCAACTCATGTCAATATAACTAACTTAAAACATATACAACAATTATGATACAAAAACAATGTGACAAAACAAAATTATAGGCTAGCACATAATGTCTATTTGACGTAAAAATAAGGTAATTGACGTCCTGATAAATCAATACAATCATATTGTCGCTAATTCTTCAATGGAATTTTGCACAAAAAAGTTTCCTTATTTACCATCCAAGTAACGTATTTGCATTAGTATGATCATCAATACCCCAACTATATAAATACACGCTATGATTGTGTTGCATCATTTTCTAGACAGTCAAACAGGGTTTAATTGAAACGAAAACCTACAGCGCCAAATACAAAATCAATCCTGTACCAACAAATTCCATAGCTTTTAGTGCCACAAGACATAGGAAAATTTGTCTATTGCTGTGGGATTTTAAACAACAAATCCGATACCATAGTATTTATTCATGGCACCGAATTATATTTTACCGAATCAAAGTGTTAATTGTAATACCGAATGACTTCTTCGGTGTACAGTAGGACTAGAAATCCTATTGTACCGGTCGGTATATAATATTTCATTTACAATTCTCAATTTAAAGACAGCAAGAGAAGAAACATCGTTTCGCGGCGCTAACACGATGTCTGGCTGCAATAAAATAAAGTCCTTCTACGCTCGGATGAGCCATTCCGCCAACTTATACTACCACTTGTCTTTATATTGTACACCGAGCCTTGGAGCACTGGGTAATAAGTACTATAAGTCTTTTGGGGAATCTAAACTAGTCGTGAGTATTGCAAGGAAACCTCCATAAATGTATCTCAAATTATCATTGCTACTTAAGTTTATTCAGCAATAGTGTTTTATAACTGTTTTGAACGTGATTAAAACCCAGAAGATAAAAACAAGGCATCTTTCACACAAGTCACTCTTTAGCCGGAACCATTTAAAAGATACAGATTTTTAAGGATACTAATAGTTGCTCTGCCTGTGCTTTGCTACGGGGTGAGAATACAGGAGAGAATAATTTGGTTTTTAAAAATCTACGGAAAATATTATTGAATTCTGATATTTATTTACTGTGGGTGTCATGCTAAATTTATTTGTTTTGCATCCAGCCCAATACTTGTTTTATATTAAATCACTAGCAGAGTACCCGTCCTTCGTACGGGGTTGGAATATAAGTGTAAAATGCTTATTGCAGTTATACTCCAACTTAGCGTTTGCAATGAGGAAGGACACAGTTTGATAAAATTTGCTTCTTTAAGTTTACAGAATCTATTATTGCCATAATGTCCTGCCACTTCACCTAAAGAATATAGAAAAATAAACTATTAATAATTCGCAAAATATCACAAATTTTTCATGCAATTAAAAACATAAACATAACTGTAAACAATCCTCTCATTGCCTATCACAGTTTTTTGTTGCTGCTTAGTTCAAATTAGGTGATTTCATAAATACAAAAAAATAATAGTGCTGCACCCTGTTGGTAAATCTTATAACTTTTTAATACTTTTGCATATCATAGAACCAACTTTTTTTAGTTGAAACAGCTGACTAAATTCTTTAATTCCCTTTAAATATGAATACTCATAAGGTTAACATGGGAAACTACAGAGCCACTGGGGCGGAGCCCGAAAGGATTTTTGAGATAAGAATATGCCTATATGTTAATCGGGAATATGAGCTATCATCATGCCAAATTTCAGCCCAATCCGTCCAGTAGTTAAAGCGTGATTGACCTTCAAACAAACAAACAAACAAACAAACAAACAAACAAACACACAAACTTTCACATTTATAATATTAGTAAGATGTGTTGTTTGTTTTTACACATGACATGACAACATGTACACATGACACAAAATATCTTGACACTTGACAAATTCCACTACTGAAGTAAGATTTATTAAACAGCTGGGTTGGTAAATTTTCTTCATAAGAAATACACATTGGGATTTTGATGGCCTGTGGGGCAAAGCCCTAGGACTTTTATTACAGGAATTGGTGAAAGGGGGCATCTACTCCAAAATTACCTACTTAATTTTGACTGTTTGTAAAAATCCCTCCATTATTAACAGCAGATTTAAGTGTTTCATAAAATATTTCATACAATCACATGCTAAATCGGGGGCTAAATCTTTAGTGTGACTGTGAAATACAGAATCAATCAGTACAGTTTAATTTTGTCTTGTACCGGCCAAAACTTACCCCTTGCTTTCCTAGGTATTCTCCATACAGGCTATTGAGACACATGTTTATAGTTAAATTTTGTGTCAAGGTCCACCAGCTTCTCAAAAATGACAAGGGATGCAGAAACAATTTCTCAAAATAAATATGGGAACCAGGAAGATTTCCTTAGTATAGTATGAATAAACGTTGAGTACAAAAGTCATGGAATTTTACGACATAAATAAATTAAAATCCCAATGGTGCTATGAGCATGCAGCTATATAAAGCTGGTTATGACACATATATCTTGGATTTGGCAGGCGATGCGAAGCCTCATGTATAAAGTTGGATGGATTCCATAAAACATACTTTATTGATTCATAAAACATACATTTTATGTAGCTACAATAGTCTATTAAATAACTCACAATTCTCTAAATTCCTTTCTATAATCTTCAATATATTTTTTTTTGCCGAGTATAATCAATAAAAGATTATTTACGAGATTGTTTCAATGCAAGCTACTACTAAGAACACTAAAGTATGAGGTGCAATATGTATACATGAATTAAAATAGCATCAGTAATAATAAACAATCTCAATACTTTTACAGTATTTTTTTTTTCCATAAGCCAGAACATTTTGGGAACCAAGAGATTCCCTCAAAAGTTTTAAACTGAATTGAAGCATATCTAATCACTCTTATATCATGTAGTAAACTGTGATATTATAGACAATTGTACTACACTAAGTTTAATACTTTCAGTTTTAAACTAAAAGTTCAACTAAAATAAACTTACTGGAAATGATTCTTTCCCCAATGTAGGTTATTTTACGTGGTTTGACGTTTTACTTTTGAGACGTCAGCTAGAGCCAGTCTTTTTGGTCAAATTTGTCTTTTTAAGACTAAAATCCAACAAGACATGAGAAGTTTAATCGAGGTATTTTAAGTGACAATAAATGTTAGTTCCTAAGTAAATACATTTTGTATGTATTTTAGGAAATCGCTCATTTTGGATGGTTAAGATAAAAAATTGATTCTTTTTTATAATTTGTAACTGGTTAATACTTTAGATTTGACAGTTCAATTACAATTTTCAATTATTGTTGTTTTGAAAATGTTTTTCAATACAAAATTCTCCCTATACTACACACATGTAAAATTGATAAGAGCTTCTGTATAATGCCTGGCATAGCTGAGTTGGAAATATTACTCTATAATAAAACATTTCTCTTCCTTCTCGCCCGGGACAGAATGTTACGATGTACTCCGGTTGTATATTCCAAGCGTTTTGCGTTTGTGAATTATTAAAACCAAGACACGATCTACTTTCTCTGTATTTCTTTTGTTTTTTTAACAAGAAAGTCTGCATTTCCTGAAGAATTTTACATGATCTTGTTTATTTGCAATAACACTCACTAGTTTGAAAATCTTTGAATTATGTTGCAAAATTCTTGTAAAATGTTCACTTGTTTAAGTGATATTAGGGGAAAGTTTTTAGTTAGTATAAAGAGAGGTTGGGAATAAGTGAATATGCAAAACAAAAACCTGTATCAGCAAACTAACACATTCTTTCTCCCATTAGCCTGATGTTAAAATTGAACATCTTTCTAATTAGTTGTAATAGGAAAAACTTTATAATTGGCAACCAGAGGGAGTAACTATGGGTTTTTATGGGGAAAATCACAAAATTGCAATAACTTTTGCACCAAAATGGGGTGTGTACCATTCTGTTTAGAGTTAAAATTACCATAACATACTAAATTTTAATCAAAATCTTTCTAGCCTTTTTTATAAAAATTGAACTTTTTCTTTTTTAAGGGTTTCATGGGAAAAATCACCATACAAAATGTAAGTTTAAAATAATTGTAATAGCCTGGATATATTATGCATTAGTACGATCAACTCATAAGCCAAGTTTCATAAAACTCGGACAGGTTTAGTCAAAATTCCTGTACACATCCACACGCAGACGTCCCTTTGAAAACCATCTTTTCGGTTTCAGGGGGAACCAAAATGGATATTTTCACCCAAAACTAAAAAATGTTAACAAAAATAATGTTTTCTCCATTCTATGTATAAAAGTAATCGCAATACGAGTAATTTATCTGTGTGATAAGGGAAAGGCATGGATTATAATTCATAACGAGATGTACGAAAATATATATTTATTATAAACTCAAATGCATTGATAACAAAATAAAAAAAATACAATGTTAGCCTATAAAATACTTGTGCATAGAGGCCCTTTCATGTTGTTGTGAATAAAATACTAAAGTTCCTTTGTTCATTTAAGTACATTTGTGTAACAACAATAACACAAAAACCTACTCCTTAAAAATTGTTTACATTACCTAAGAATTACACAGTTACATTTCTATAAATACATTTAACTAAAATTAACAGTATTCAGCTCAATAACCAAAGACCAATAGTTTAAAAATGCATTTGTACAAATAAACTTTACATGTTCAATAGGAAATTCATAAATTACCTTATCTAATTTCTCGTTTCAATTGAGCCACAATCACACAATTTCATCAATATTGCAAATTAAATTACCCATTCAATCAACTTGTACAATCAACAACTTTCATTTCAACTGCGTCATTATTAAAATAAAATAAATTACTATCATTCCATTACCTCAACACTGCCACTAATTGCACATGAGTTACGGTAATACCAGAACCAATATCAATAGCCCTTATGTTCGGAACAATTTTTTAGATCACAGGTTAGTAAAACTGTTACAGGATAAAAATACAAAGTACGGCCTTACTCACACTCATGGACGTAGGGCAGAGCTCCAGCCGCACTCTGAGCAAATGGAGTATAAATCACATACTCTGAACTTTTGTAATTCTCTCATCCTACAATCCCCCTACCACAACCACGTCGTATAACTAAAGAAATGGAAGACATCTTGGAATGACTTGATGAACAGGTGAATCATGTGATCATAAATGCACAGAGAATGTATATTCTGCTTCCTTCTTCTCTTCTCTGTTTGATTTCTGAAAAAATAACACTTTTGAAAACATAGTGTTAAGGTAGGGGTAAAAGGGAATGTTTTATTAACAATTTTTACACTCCGCATATAATGTTTACCAAAATCATGTACAGTGATTAATTTTTTATATGCCACATATTCATCTTAGAGTAGGCTCTAGCACAAAAGTGTTGTACACATGACTTCAAGCAAGTGCTAGAGAGTAGGGGCATTATTACTGAGAACATTATTGAATGGAATCAAGGCCCCACTAGAAAAAACAGGCCATGCTGCAGCGCGGGTAGCGCAACACTACGTCACAGTGGTGGATAGTTGTACTAAACTCTTACCATTAAAATCTTACAAACAGCCAGCTTGTTTATTTACCTAAAACATATGGGAATGGTGATGGCAATGAATTTATCAATGAAATCTATCCACTAGTGTGACGTCATGGATCCTGCAGCATGGCCTGCTTTTTCTAGCGGGGCCTTGATGAAATGGCTAGATTTGAGCTTGGGACCTTAGGGACCAAGTCCTGCGCTCTACCAATAGACCAGCTTGCCCCCTATAAAGTTTGATTAATAGCAACATTGACTTTTCACCAAGATAATGGAAAATGACTTTGATTTCGTCGTGACTGCCGGAAGATTTTTGATACGTTTTAACTTGAAGCAATAACAGTATTGTCTTGAATACACTTGTTAGCAGTACTCAATTTGTGGGGGAATGCGGTGAAATGGAGTTCCAGTACCTCTCTATCGGGAAGATAAAAATATTGGCATTAAAAGGTACATAAATACTAAATAGGTACAAATCACAATAAATAGGTTACAGTTCCGCGCCTCATTTTTCACCAATCGAGTGCTGCTTGTTAGTATAAAATATTGACCAAACTTTAACAATTTAACACATTAAAACAACAGAAAAATTCTCAAGGAGCCTTACCATGTCTTTTTCAAGTTTTTTGCGTCTGAGGTATTTTGCGACAGGAGGTACAAAAAGATCAGGGTTCAATTCCCCAGGGGGTCTTCCACAGGCTGAGGCTAACCAGCTGACTACCAGTCCTACCACCATTGCAACACCAAAACTTATCACAATGTAGTACAAGTAGCTCACTCGGTACAGGTAGAAGTATTCCGTTGGCCTAAAACATTGAAAAATCATGGTAAGTGTGGATGTAAAAATAAATACTCAACTGCTTTTATTCATTGGGGTATTAGAGTAGGTGGCATCATCAAATTGTCCTATGAGGTTTGACCCAATATTGCCAATTTTTTTCTTTTAATTTAGGTTATAAATTTGACTAGCCCCTGGACTCAAATTTCCCTCTCTTGAAACAAACTCTTAATCAACCGCATGGCCTTTGGTGATTAAAAGAGATAAAGATTAAACTTACTGGCTTGTGGGGGTGACTGTGGCAGCTAAAACAGGAGATGCAGCGTAGATGGTGAGGTTAGTAGAACACCCAGCGGTGCTGAGAGGTAGTGTATGTAGAGGAGGCTTCGGACCTCCAAACCCTAAGAGTAGAGAAGAGACTAAACCTGCCAGTAGACCTAGGACTGCACCCTGCAACATCAGAGACACAGTAGATTATGAGGTGAGTAGAACATAAATGAGTTTCCAATTTTGGAATGCATCATGCACTCTCAGGGTCCGTGTGTATTTTGCTCTAGTGTGAATCTAACTCCTAACGAGAAACTCAGCTGGTTTTGACATTGCAGTACATCGAAGCAATCTGAAGAGTCCCATTCCTCTATTCATACCGCTGCCATCATTCCTCTGAATTGTTTCTTTCGGAGGACCTCTGCTTGTGTCTCACATCCGAAATGAAGAACGGAGTGGACAATGGACATCAGCACCTGCCATTTGCTGCCAACCAGTCCACCAAAATTTCTCATCTACTTGTTCAAATTGGATTCAACCTTTCAAATTTCTTGTTGAAACTACAACGATAACTTCACATCAATAACATGTGTTTAGGTCAATTATACCTGGTTTGTGAAAGCATGAAACGTCTTTGGGCATACTAAAGACCAACACTGCATAAGATTGCAAACATTTCTCAAGAACACTTACCGGTTCATTAGCACAAGGACAAAACATGCCGAGTGTGAAGATTGCCAGAAGTGGTCCTCCCACCATGCCAAAGATGGACAAGGATGCTTGCAGCACTCCGCCCAGCAGACGAGAGAGGAACGCGACTGCTATGCATATCACTCCGTAGGTGAGAGCCAACATCTTGGACAACTGAGCGCTGTAGGCTGCTGGTACTTCTTGGCCTGACCACAACAAGTAGAGAGGCTGGAACATACCTGACATGAGACAGCAGCAGAAGTAGAATTGTTCCTTTTAGTGATGTGTCGAAACCTAACATTAAGATGAATTCAAATTGGCGTTTTAGGAATCAATCCTCAAATCTGATATTTAACTCTTTACATGCAAGAGATTATCCCATGAAATGAAATTGAAAACACTTCAAAACATTGGGATATTCCGTATTCTCACCTGAATATTATCCACACTTAACACACTTGTACTTTTTTTGTTAAAAGATAAATGCAATGTATTTAAAAAGTTAAAGAAGGTCGCATAAAAACCTGAATTGGACTGTTAAAAATTAAAAATAACCCACTCACCTTGATATAGTCCTCTAGAGTGACGGCTGCCAGAGAGTTGAGACATGCAGACACTGTGCTGAGAGCTGCAGAGAAGATACCAGCCACAAATAGACCAGACAGTCCCGTCACATCTCCCATAGTCTCCACAACAAACAGCGGCATCAGCTGATCCCTGCTACTGATGCGGCCTGAACTGCAAAAAAAGTTAGCATGCTTTACTGTTGTGCACTTTCCAAATAACAGTTTTTCTCGAAGGAGACCCTTCTCTGGTTTAATAATATAACTGATTTAAGAAGAAAGCTGAAAGATGTTTTTGAACTGTACATAATATGCATTATCTTCTTTTTTAATGCTTTTGCCAACTTACAGACTTGATGTTCGTGTAATACAAAATTACTATTAACGATAATTGTCTAATTTCTTATGCTTAGGATAAAACCAGCAATCTTTTGATTAATCTTGATAATATGTTATAAATCCTTACAGAACAGAAGCTAAGCAAGATCGTCCACTTACAGTACAGGATCACAGTTGTAGTACTTTGAGTATATGGCCAGGCCAGAGAATGCAGTGCATCCAGACAACAGGATGAGTATTGGAGTAGAGATCCACAGGGACCTCACTGCCGTCTTGTAGTCCTTCATGGTCATGTATCTGAAGTGAGAAGCAAGCAAATATATAACGAGGTAAAAAATACATTAGTCAGTACAGTGGATTCTATTTTGTCAACTAATTTGCAAATTTGTCAACAGGATTTCTGCTCTGCCAGATTTTTGGAGTAACCTCTAAATAAGTCATTATAGAATATTATAGAACAGGTGAACAATTGATTCAAAGTTTTTTTACTAACATTCTACTCCTGCAGAAACACCCTTGTGGGGCTACATATAAAAAAAAATTGTGTTTTGTATTTGTGTACTATCATTGACTATATTGGAAACTGAAGTAAACATAGCATCTATATGGAGCTGTCGTCAATTTCTGATTGAACATAAATCTGTGAGCCAGTCAGAGAATCTAGCTAATGTTTAAAATCCTATTTACATCTTATTTTTTTGTTTCAGACCAAGTTGATGGGTCATAAAAGTTCTATAGCTCACATAATTCACTCCATTAGTTTGACTTGGTAAAAAGGTTTGTGTATTGGATAGAAAATAGTAATTTAGATCAACACAATCTGTTGGTGGCTCATATCAACTACGACAATTTTGATAAAAATGCTGGCAACAACTTTTAACATGGAGATATGTCTAGTTGTATCAATAGTCAAAGGTTATCAACTGACCGTTAATATTTTCTTGGATAAGTTAGTCGTGTATCAATTCTTTTGACTTTGATCAGTCTTAATAGTCTCTTTAGCTTGATGCCAGAGAATGGAATATCAGATCCAGATGCAAGATTAATGGGGTTTTGGAAGTTGTTTAGTCATCAGGATGTATATTGGGATACATATCTATCAGCATTCTTGTAATCTCTCATGGTCAAATAATAAGGTCCCCTCTTGTATTGCTGGTGCATGAGCAAATGCGAAATTTATTTTTAAATAAACTTCAAAGTGTTTGATTTGTTTATATTTTAAAGTTCAACTCCTCTCTAATTATATACAATGAAATAACTGATTATTAACAAAAATACTTGCTACAAATATCCATCAAATGTCTTCTTTTCAGTACTTGACTCACCTCTGTACTTGCGTCTGATTGACAGCGTAGAGAGACAAGAAGGTGAAGCCTCCGCCAATCAGCAGAGAAAAGTACGTGAGCCTCACAGTAGGGTCTGGGTTGATGCTGAAACATCGGCTACGTTAGACTGGACTCTAGACTATCTTACAAAAATAATTATTTTATCTATGTAGTATCTTAGATTTGCCTGACCACATAGGACTTGCCGAACGTATCAAGGGGTGAGCTGCTAAGGTACAAGAATTAACTATGTATTTATGTAGGTGTTGAGATGTAAACCCATGACTTGGCTATCTTGGATTAGTAGTCCATTACACTACAGACTGAGCCACCAACTCACCAGTCTAAGGTATTGAGTTCAATTAGCTCACCTGTGGAAATCCACAAGTTCACAGGCGTATATGTATACCACAACACCGATATTTCATCTCCAGACTTCTTCGGAGGTTGGTGAGATATTGAACACCCTGGAAGTACCCTGATCATTTCAATAACTTTCCTGATTATTTGAGCAATTATTTTCCAAGTTTTCATTAACGCTGCTGTAATTATGCTGATATAAACAAGATTACCTCTTAGCAGCTCGAAACTAGTTGTGCAATACAACAATTGGATTGCCAGAATCATGTATTTAAACCATATTATTATGTTATTATAATCAGCTGACATAAACTAATCTAAAAAGCAACAAACATTTCTTATAAAAAAACAAAAACTTAAAAAAACAAAAAAAAAAATTGGGTGCTTATGCTTACTTGAAAAACTGTATTCTGTCTCCTTTCTCAGCAATCTCCCATATCTGACTGAGACCTCCTTTCTGCTTTGCTGCTGTGAAGATTATGCTGATCACTGCTGCGAACATTAGCAGCGACTGAAACATAATCACATCAATAATCATCAGTTTAGTTTCACAAGTATGGCAATGCTGAAAACACATCCAGTAGAACTTCTTTAATCCGAACTAATTGGGACTGGGGGTTGTTCGGAGTAGTGAATAGTTCGGATTACAGAACATACTAGTGTAGTGTCGAGAAGTTGATACGTTCCCGACTGAATTCAGCCGTAGTCGCTGCGGGGGACCTGTCCCCTCGGCAGTATGGATTTAGGATGGGGCGATCTACGGTTGACGCTGTTGAAGAGGTGAAGCAAGCCGTGATGAGAGCTGAGGATTTTAACCACTACTCTCGAAGGGTTGTGCTGCTCGTCACTCTCGATGTGCGAAACGCATTTAATTCGGCGAGGTGGTGCGATATGCTGGATGCTCTGGAGAACACCTTTCACGTCCCGGCATACCTCATGCGTATCATAGAGGATTATCTCCGGTTCCGCCTCCTCTTGTATGACACTACAGAGGGCCCACGGACGATGAGTGTCACTTCCGGTGCTGCCCAAGGTTCCATACTCGGCCCGGACCTCTGGAATGTCGCGTATGACAGCCTCCTGAGGTCTGAAATGCCTGAGGAAACTGTTTTGGTTGGGTACGCGGACGACGTCTCCCTTAAAAAAAAAAAAAAAAAAAAAAAAAAAAAGTGTACCTGTTGCTCGAATTCGAGCAATTGTAAAGCATTACAGGCGACTCAAAGATTATGGAAATATTCACGATCTACACAACAGTTAGATATAATCAAAATCTTTTGTAAATATCTTATCTTTTTTCAAAAAGTTGATCTTGTTTTTTTGGTGTAAAAAAAAGCATCATTTCTATTTCTTTTACTTGGTTGTGTTCTATGACTTTTTCTATGTTTCCATTTTTTGCAAATCGGTTATTTAAATGATTGCTCAAGAAATGTAGCACAGTGTTAATTCAGTTTTATTTTTAGTCTATATCAATAAATCACAATTTAAATATTAACAGCTGTTGCATTAAAAAGTAGTGTAGAATTATTCGTATGGTCGTAATGTAAACAAATCTGAAGAGGCAATTTTAAAGGCTTCTGGGGCAGAGCCCCAAGGGAATTTACCTCTTTCCTCTTTTGATGGCTCATCTACACACCAAGACCTTTCTTTAGAGACCCCTACCAAGTTTCTACGCCCAGCCGTTCTCCCAAATTAGCTGTGACAAAAACCACGTTTTCCTCCGTAAGAATAACATGGGATGGGAATTTAAAGGCCACGGGGGCAGAGCCCCAAGGGAATTCACCATGTTTCTCTTTTGATGGCTCATCTACAGACCAAGACCTTTCTTTAGACACCCCTACCGAGTTTCTACGCCCAGCCGTTCTCTCAAAATAGCTGTGACAAAGAAAAACAGTTTCAAATTAATATATAGATTGTTGCTCTTGCATAACAATAGCTAAAATGGATCGTAATTGTTTGGGGAAAAGTGAAAAATGCTTTATAAAGTAAAATACAGTGTTTATTTAATACAGTAGTAAACATAGTGAATAAACAGTACTGTACATTAATAGAAACAATTACGTTGCGTATATAAAAAAATACAGTATACAATAAAGAACTACTGTACTGTGTATTAAGTACAGCAATGAGGCGTTCGGATTAGTGGACGGTCGGACTACGGTTGTGCGGATCAAAGAGGTTCTACTGTATAAAATAGTTATTTGTGCAACTAGTGAGCAAAGGGAGCAAGTTTAGGGAGCAATTGACTCACTCGAGAGAAATACTTACTCACGAGCAGTAGGCGAGTGAGGAATAATTTCTCGAGTGAGGCAATTGCACTTTGCACTCGAGTTGCACATTATATTTTCCCTACAGTTACCATAAAACAAATAAATTGGTAAAGAAATATTTTTTACACAGAAGTGAACTTTTAATATTACATTTAATGATACAATAGTACAACCAGCTGACCAGCTGATTTACAACCAGTGCTGCCAACGTATTTCGCGCGCATGAGACCTCGTCTGCATGTTACACGCTCACAATTTCGTGCCTTCACGTTGCAAATCTGGAGTGAGTGAGACAAAGTTATTTAGAGTGAGACAATGTTAACATTGTCTCACTGATGAGCGAATTGGCCACTTTGCTTTCTCAAATCAGTGAGAGAACATGTACAATGTTAGGTAACTGTAGAAAAAAAATATTTTCCCATTGTAAGCCAGCTGGCAAACACAAATTTCATTTTTTGCAGATTTCATTCTCAAGTGATTTATGTCAGATTGACTGTTCATCGCTCGTACAGAAAGTAGTAGCTACATTTGATGACAGCGGATATAAACTATATAATTAATTCTCACACTCTAATTTAGAACCAGGGAAAACTATAAGCCAATTTTCTCTAGCTCCAAATTTTCTTTCAGTTTTCAATAGCTCTCAATCAGTTCTCCATTTGTCCACTCAGCAAGCTAGTGTTGACATTATTAAATTTCTATTACTTAAATCAGCTGTTTTTATTATTTAGCAGTCTAAAAGTAAAAATGTTATTCTGTATGTGGGTATTTTTAAGTCAAGAAAAGTATTGATCGTACCATCTATCAAAAGTGATTTTTCACGGCTTGATTCAACTATTTACATCATTGGTTTCACCTCGTTTGTGAAACCCACTCTTACAATTTGGTGTTCCTGTGTGAGGCAACCGGAAACACGTTTCTCTCAGTACTTGAAAAGAAATTTCACTTGAATGCCAGATAAAATTAATCTGCTTGCTCTGATAAACGAGTTTAAAGAGATTTCTTATTTTATATTTTTTTACCAGCATCAAAACAAAGCAAACATGTCTAACAAATCTAAAACCGTACTTGGAATACATCTGTCCATATGACAGCCTTCATTCCTCCCAGTGTGCAGTAGAACATACACACAGCTCCCACCAGTACGATGGAGATGTTCTGATTGAGTCCAGTGAGAGCCTCTAATGCAATGGCTGGAGCATACACCACAATACCCATGTACAGCACCATCTGTAGTGAGTACATGAGCGAGGCACAGGTACGAGCCTTGCTGCCAAACCTCAGGTACAAGTACTGCAAAAAAGCAATCAAACTCATTTTTACTATTGACTGCACTACCTGTAGCGAACTAGATATATTTTGTTGATTTAATTTTGTGTGGTTTACTACACTATTGGCATTTTTTACAATTTTGCAATGGAAATGTCAATACTCTGGTCTAGGTTTTCATCCAACATTGAACTTTTGTTAGCATCATTTGATGGCCCAATGTCAATTGGTTTCTATGTCTGGTAACAATTGCTTAGTATCAAACCATCAAGTACTGTAACCACTCCACTCGACTACTGAAACAATTAAAATGATCACGATAAAGGACCATATCTAATATTTCTGGATTTGGTAAATAAAATCCTTTATATAATACGAGTAAAGTTTGAATACTTGTCAACTCGATCTGGGAATCGGCTCTAACAAAAACGTTTATATTTACGGAATAACTAAGTTCTGTGTCAAAAATAAGATCTAGACCAGTGGTATAGCCAGGAAAAATCTATTTTCGCCATAATATGAGTACAAACTTTTGAAAATTTAACATGGGCCTTATGAGAAAACATTCCGCCATTATTGTCATTTTGTTTACATTTTAAGACATAACGTGACGTTCTGTACCCACGGGCACCTCAGCTTGCGCATGCACATATGGCCTATTTACAAAAGACAGTACAAAAGAAAAGGAGTCCGATGAATACCATTAAGCGTTGATTAACAATACATAATTTCTGCATAATTTCTGGTGACCTTACTGAATTATTCCAAGCAGATTATTTCGTTTAATTGTTGTTAGGCTATTAGTTTTGTGGTAAATATTAGTCCGGAGTGTGGTAACTGTTTATGACGATTAGATTAAGGTATCTACAATCCTAAAATGCTATGGGAAGGGAGGGAAACAGGTCCACGACGTAGGAAATGGTTAAGGAAGTAGTAAAGGTAAGTAGTCCGGAGTGTGGGAAATGTTTATGACGATTAGATTAAGGTATCTATCTACAATCCTAAAATGCTATGGGAAGGGAGGAAAACAGGTCCGTGGCGTAGGAAGTGGTGAAGGAAGTAGTAAAGGCGAGTAGTCCGGAGTGTAGGAACTATTAATGACGATTAGATTAAGGTATCTGTTATCCTAAAATGCTATGGGAAGGGAGGGAAACATGGTCCGCGACGAAGGAAGCGGCGCAGGTCCGCGGCGTAGAAAGTGGTGAAGGAAGTAGTAAAGGCGAGTAGTCCGGAGTGTGGGAACTATTAATGACGATTAGATTAAGGTATCTGTTATCCTAAAATGCTATGGGAAGGGAGGGAAACATGGTCCGCGACGAAGGAAGCGGTGAAGGAAGTAGTAAAGGTGAGTAGTCCGGAGTGTGGGAACTGTTTATGACGATTAGATTAAGGTATCTGTTATCCTAAAATGCTATGGACTGGGAGGGAAACATGGTCCGTGACGAAGGAAGCGGTGAAGGAAGTAGTAAAGGTGAGTAGTCCGGAGTGTGGGAACTGTTTATGACGATTAGATTAAGGTATCTGTTATCCTAAAATGCTATGGGAAGGGAGGGAAACAGGTCCGTGACGTAGGAAGTCGTGATGGAAGCAGTAAAGGTGAGCGGTCCGGAGTGTGGGAACTGTTTATGACGATTAGATTAAGGTATCCACAATCTTAAAATGCTATGGGAAGGGAGGGAAATAGGTCCGCGGCGTAGGAAGTGGCGAAGGAAGTAGTAAAGGTGAGTTAGTCCGGAGTGTGGGAACTGTTAACGACGATTAGATTAAGGTCTCTACAATCTTAAAATGCTATGGGAAGGTAGGAAAACAGGTCCGAAACGTAGGAAGTGGTAAAGGAAGTAGTCAAGGCGAGCAGTCCGGAGTGTGTGAACTGTAATGTAATGTAATGTAATGTAATAAGGATTAGATTAAGGTATCTGCAATCTTAAAATGCAATGGGAAGGGAGAGAAACAGGTCCGCGACGTAGGAAGACGAATGAAGTAGTAAAGGCGAGCACTGTGGAGTCTGGGAACTGGAAACCAATTGTAACAGTTCGATTTCTGTATCTGAAAGTGAAATACTGAAATGCTATGAGATGGGATGGAAAGATGTCTAAGACATAGGAATTAGTAAATGCTAGCAGTGCGGAGTGTGGGAAATGTTGTTGGCAATTAGATTAATGTATTTAAAATACTAAAATGCAATGGAAATAGATGACAACATGTCCACGACTTAGGAAGTAGTAAAGTTTAGCATCGCAGAGTGTAGGAACCGTTTGTGTCAGTTAGATTAATGCATCTCTAATACTTAAATGCTATGAGAAGGGAGGGAAACAATGACGTAGGAAATGGTGAAGGAAGTAGTAAAGGCTGGCATCGCAGAGTGGGGGAATGATTTCTCCAGGTACTAAAACACAAACCAAACAAAACAAGTCATACCTCATAAGCGGAGGTGGCTTGCAGCTTATAGAAGACTGGGAGGTAGAGGTAGGCGGCCACTGGAGTCCACAAGAGGTAGGCAAAGTTGATGATAAAGAAGAGAGTGCTGTACATGTAGATTTCTGCTGACACTCCTAACAGGGAGATGGAAGACATGAAACTAGCCATCAAAGAGAAGGCCACTGGTAACATACCTTGGTCCTGGCCTCCTAACAGATACTCCTGGACAAGTACAAGAAACATGTGTAAAATACATAAAGTTAATGAAGAAAAGAGTTCTGTACATTTAAATCTCTGCTGAGACTCCCAGTAAGGAAATTGAGGACATGAAACTGGCCATCAGAGAGAAGGCCACTTGTAACATACCTTGGTCCTCGCCTCCTAACAGATACTCCTGGACAAGTACAAGAAACATGTGTAAAATATGTTAAGTTAATGGATGAAGAAAAGAGTTCTGTACATTTAAATCTCTGCTGATACTCCAAGTAGGGAGATGTCAGTATCTTCGAAAACTCAAAGAACTTAGTAAAGCATGCAACTTTAAACATGAACCACTGCTAATGAAAATCGTAATGATTTTCTCCAGATTCCTGTCTTCTAGTTGCCAGTTGATTACGTGAATATACCTCATTAGTAAGCTTTATAACAAGTTTGTCAAGAAAAGATATAGCCTCGGTATAAGAATCAGCCTCTGAGATTATTTCATATAAGTTGTAGTCCACAAAATTAGTTAGAAGTTTTAGTTGATCATCTTCTGCAGCACATATTTCTTCCATGAAATTCTTGAAAGTGGTTTTCCAATGTTTCCACTGACGATCAGAATGGACGGGTCATTAGTGGGGTACACTTCCATATCTGTTGGCACACACAACCTAGTGAGTAATATTATTATTCGATTGCTTAATTCGATATATCGTTTGGTTAGTTAGGCTAGGTTAACCTTAACTAACTAACCGAACGACCGAACGATATATCAAATAATCAATCGATATTTTCATTCGGTTGTTTGTGCCAACAGATATGGAAGTGTACCCAAGATAGAATAGAACTTGTATAGAAGAACTTGTATAGAAGAAATTGTAATAATATAATTAAAAGATTAAGTTGAATAAATTGTTATGAAAAGAAATGTTTAGAAACCAAATTTATATGGTTTTATTCAACTTAAATCAGCTACATTTGAAATGAGAGAATTAATACAAAACTGTAAACATTACATACATAAACAAAAATAGTCTTAAATAAAACAGCTGAAGAAATATTTGACAGTACAATAGAAATCATATTACATAACACTGTGCTGTAAGTAATGCCACACGTCGGCTCTGGACCCATGAGCGGGCTTTCAGCTCCTTTGTTTGCCCACTTGTCAGCTCCCTCATTACCAGCAATACCCCTTTGTGCCCTGGAACCCAACTAAGGATGATCCTGGTGCTCATTCCCAGGGCTTTCATGGCCTGATGACAGTCCCATACAGCCTTGGAGGTAAAGTCAAAACTGTCAAGTGCCAATAGTGCTGCTTTGCGGTACGAGTTCATGTATAGGCCTACAGTGTGGCCTGTAAGACCACGCTTCAAACACACTCTTGCACACTCAGACAGGGCAACAACTTCTGCCTGGAATACTGGAGCCATTCTTCCGAGGCTTACGCAAAACTGCGCCTTGGGCCTGACTCTATATATTCCAGCTCCCGTGCCCGTTGGCTTTTTTGAGCCATCCGTATACCAAGTGATCCCCCTTTTCATGTATTCAAGTTCACTCTTGTCCCAGGCATACCTGTCAACTTGGTTTTTCTAGATCTGTGATCTTCACCATTATGTCTGGTAGCATTTCCAAGGTGTTCATCTACACCTTGTCCACAATTCTTTTGTGCTCACTGGAGGCATTATACTTCCAGTTGCCACTGCAAGCCATTCTGTAGGCTGCCATCCTTGCCTCTCCTTTCATAATAATGCCGAGAGGTGGCAGGCTTAGCAATACTTCCAGGACTGCAGTTGGAGTGCCTCTCATGGCTCCTGTAGTGCTAAGGCATGCCACTCGCTGGATTTTTTCTAGTATCTTTACAGCGGTCGTTTGCATTACCTTGGTCCACCAGACCACCGAGCCATACACCATCATCATCGGTCTTGCAACCCTAGTGTATAGCCAGTTAGTCATATGTGGGCTTAGACTCCAGGTCTTCCCAACAGCATCATAAGTGTGGTCTGAGAGCGCTGCGTTATATGTACCAAATGGCTGTTCCAGGTGAGCTTGTCGTCCATCCTTATTCCTAGGTACTTGAACTCCCTCTTAACCTGGATCTGATTACCGAAGAAAGTTTGAACTCTAGCGATGTCAACATTTCTCTTCCTTGTAAATGGTACCTTTATGGTCTTCTTGCATTGAGCTCGCACAGGAGATTGTCGACCACCAGGTTCCACAGATTAGGTGACAAGACGCTTTGTGCATGACCTCTCTCACCAACTTATTCTTGGTGGAATTAACATCATATATTATCTTTAGACTTAGGACAAAACTTAGCTGAGAACATCATTAACGACTGCACAAACCCCATAACCCTGCATAAAGGGATGAAAATTCCACAAGTTTTATATCATTAGCAAACTAAAGAAAAAGGATTTTGACAATGAATATGGAGATCTCTTTATGTCATGAATGAATATGCAGATCAGAAAATATCTGATCCCTACTTATACGCCATTCAAGATTTTTTTTCATCATAGGCTGATCAAGAAGTACTCTTAACATGGGTCTGCTTTTCTTTGGATAGTTTGTAGAAAATAATGACTAGAATTTAGGGGCTATTGCCCCTACAAGCCACTGGTTGGAATATAGTTTATAAAGAACTACCAATAAAATAAATCCGTGGTACAAGAATCAGATTTTTTAATGTAATAAAAAGCCTTTTATTAACAAAGATTTTGCATGACATTTTTTAAACCTGATACTGAGGACTTGTTTTTGTTTTGTCCAATAAGTGTATTATTCTTTACCTTGTTTGTTTTTTGCCGGCCACCCGTCAGTCTAAAATAGATCCCAATAGAGGCAGACACGGACAGAGTAATGGCCAAGACAACATAATCTGCCCAACCCAGTGTCTTAGGCTCCATAATACCTGCAAAAAGCCATCTATATATATATAATACACTGGCAGATTTTTGTGAACTGAACTCCTCCCACATTTTTAGTCCGATTTAGACGATCAAGTAGCAAAAAAATGGCCCTGATTTGTACTTTTGCAAAGTGGTTTTCATTTTTTGAAATCTTTATTAGTTTGGGCAGGATCCTCGTCAAATTTGGGTTTTCTCCCATGAGGTTAACATGGAGGAATCTATTTATTTAATTGGAAACTTTGTCTCAGCTAATTTGAGAGAACGGTTGAGTGTAGAAGCTTGGTAGAGGTGTCTAAATAAAGGTCTTGGTCTTTAAATGAGCCATCAAAAGAAAAACAACGTAAATCCCCTTTGGGGCTCTGCCCCAGTGACCTTTAAAGTTCCCTCCCCAGGTTTGTTAACATTATGGCCATATGGATAATTTTTCAATACTTTTTAATGAAACAGCTAAAAATATTTAAATTGTATTTTAAACAACACAGGATCTGAAGGGGCTTGAGTATGCATGGAAAGGCTAACACAATTTTATTTCTGATTGTTGTTATAGGCACTAGTGATCACGAAAACGCATGTTGTTGCCCCCCAGCGTGGTCGACATCCCATGGGGGAGGGGGGCAATATGGCGGGGGGCAATATGGCGGGGGGCACCGTTTACTAAAACGCCTATAACTCGAGAACATTCTAGGTAGAACATTGCATTGAACGTCAATTTACTCATAAAGCTACGATCTTTAAAAATGTTAATCTGTTGAAGTTTGTATCTTCAAATCTTTCGTAAAAACATAAACAAACCTTTTAAAACAAATAAAACATAAAAACTCTATCTCCGTTTGACATTTCCGCTTGACTCTAGCGCTACCTATCAATGAATTCTACAACTCTTACTTCTAGTTCCCTATATCTCCGCTAGGTACAGCACTTTACGGAACCTCTAATAAAAACAACAACTTCTATTTACAAAATCTGTTGGTTTTTTAGTTATTTTACTGTATATTGAAACTAAAAATCAATATGGGGTTATGGAGTAAGAATAGGTTTTTTCCCATTTTTGACTCTTAAAACATAAAATTTCATAACTTCTTTCCAGACCATTTCATAGAGCTTAAAAAAAAATGTGTATACTGAAGTGTTGTTGTATGCCTAACGGTTGCGGAGATAATAAAAAAAACGTTAAATTCAAAATGCCCATGTTATTCTTACGGAGAATTATTAAGCTAATGTAGTTTACTTATTTATGGATACATTTTAATGAAATTTGGCAATTTTTTTTATTTTATACTAAGCTATCAAAATTTCAATAAAAACTCACCTCAATACCTTCCTTGTAGCAGCAAACCTAGGTACTCATTAAAATTAATTGAAGGCCCCACTCTTCGACCATTTTTTTAAAACTATGCATTGAGGGATTTTCATTGGCACAGAATTACGTTATGATGACTGACGTGATGAAGGAAACTCCCTTTGAAGTTCTAACTACATTTTACGTTCTTACGCACCGCCTCAACACACAGATATTTTTCCTCAAAAGAAAAGCGTAGATTTAATTAAATTTGTATTACAATGATGAAATTGCGGAAGTATTTACCACAAAAAATCCACCAATACGATTTTAATAATATTTAAAGGTTCATCCAAAAGAAGAGAAACCAGTTAACGTAGTAATAATAAATCCAATAGAAAAAAAAGGTAAGGGAAATATTATTTATTCATTGAATGATCAACCATATTTTGTAACTATTTCCCCAACTTCAGAGTTGATTATGTTCCAGACAGTTTTCTGAATGTTCTGGGAATTTCCAATTTTTTTTTTTTTTTTCGAAATATCTGTGTTTAGCCTTATTTAATTCTCTTTTATAAGTAATCTTTTCCTGGTGTAAACAATCTTTTAAACTAATACTTTTTTTACTACGATATTCCTTAGTCAGTTGAATAATATGCTGTTGTTTCATCTTCTTTAGTTATCCATGTACGTTTTTTATTTCTCTTTGTAACCATTTTTTTTGGAAAAGCCTGATAAAAATAGATAGAAAAATTTAAACGCAACTCTTTTTTAATTGGCAAATTTACAGTTTTCATAGAATTTTGACATTTTACTTTTAATAGCTGTCCATCATGGTCAGATAAGAAAGTAACCAGACCTTCAACCATTAAGTTAGATAATTTAATATTTTTATCAAAAAGCTATCTATTGCTGACTCCGAACTCTTGTTGGGAAATCGACAAGGTACCTCATACTTTTTCTTTCTAACATCTGTTGTAACAATCTATGTCTGCTATCCGATACTAAAACACTAATATTGAGGTCACCTGCTACAATTATCTTATCTTACTAATATTATAAATGTTTAAGTTTGTGTGTTTGTTTGTTTGAAGTTCAATCACGCATAAACTACTGGACGGATTGGGCTGAAATTTGGCATGATGATAGCTCACATTCCCGATTAACATATAGGCATATTCTTATCTCAAAAATCCTTTCGGGCTCCGCCCCAGTGGCTCTGTAATTCCCCATGTTAACCTAATGAGTATTCATACTCAAAGGGAATTAAAAAATTTAGTCAGCTGTTTCAACTAAAAAAGTTGGTTCTATGATATGCAAAAGCATTAAAGGTTAAAAGATTTACCAACAGGGTGCAGCACTATAGTTTTTTTTTTTGCATTTATGAAAATAGCTAATTTTAACTAGGTAAGCAGCAACAAAAAAACTGTGATATGCAATAAGAACTGTCGAAGTAGGATTGTTTACAATTATGTTTATATTTTTAATTTTATGAATGCTTTTTAATATTTTGTGAATTTTTAATAATTTATTTTTCTCTATTGTTTAGGTGAAGTTGTGGAACATGGCTATGGTAGATGTTCAATACTATAGTGAACCGTAAATTTAAAGAAGCAAATTTTATTAAAATGAGTCCATTCTAATTGCAAACACAAAGCTTTAGTTGAGTATAAATGCGATAAGCATTTTATATTTATATATGCTAACCCCGTACAAAGGACGGGTACTCTGCTAGTAGTTTTATCATATTTTTTATTAAAATACAATAATTAATTAATAGCTATTTACCCTACAAGTGTAGTAAGAGCGTTTTTACATTACGCAACTAGCGGAAGCGAGACTTAATTACCTTTGGATAGGAAAAATAAGGAAAGATTGGAAGTCACAAAATTATATCTAAGATATAATTTACCGATACTTATGAATGTTGTGAACAATTTGAAAAACTTGTAAATGAAAAATGTATTTAAAAAAGAGAGAGAATGCTTTTGATACCACAAATAAAAAATATCAAATACAGAATCTATGAAACCAAAGTATTAAAGCAAGTGTGACAAAGTAGAAAGAGAAAATAAGTATCCATGAGTACGAAAAAGCAAAAGAACAAACATCGTGAGGTATTAGTTTAACAAGGCCTAGATTTGAGTTTGATTTTATTGTAGTTTTAAGGCAGACATCAAATATTAGCAACAAAGATGACACAAAAACCAAACTCCATATTAGCATTTTAAATCCCAGACAATTGCCTATTTATTTAATATTTACTGCTGAATTTGACACGTTAATATCCGTTACTATCTTGACTATTTCTCTTCTCACATATTCAATCTGTTCGATTGATGTTAAATTTTTCTGTAAGAACCCCTCAAATTCACGAAACTCCTGGAACAGCTTGACTTTTTTTAAATACAGCGTTGTATCGTGATCTTCAGTGTAACTGTGAGGTTCAAAAGCAACATTATCTTTATCTGCTTCTCCGTTGATTTCTTGAATGATGCCTTCTTCTATCACCACTTCATTTTCTTCTATCACCACTTCATTTGAGATTATGTCATTGTCTCCAATTACTGCAACTATAAAAGCGTTCTCTTCAACATGTGTTTCTTTTATTTTTGATTTTTCTCTTTCTCTTCTCTCTCTCATCACTCGTCTGTACTTTTTACCACGACCGAGACCTCCTAGCGATATTCTCAAGTACTTTGGATCTTTTTCGTGACCCACATGTACTGGTAAATATTTAACAACAACACTGTCACTTTCTTGATTTACAAACATAGCGGATGGACAGAAACCATTTATTTTACATGAACCTAAAGACTTAGTTTTCCTGACATTAGAACCTTTACTAACATAGTTTCCACTTCTGTTACAAATGTAGAACCGGTAAAAATCCTTCTCAGACTTACATTTTGGCATGTAATACACAGCATTCTCTTGTTCAACACTCCTTTTCCACAGCTTGAAATCCTCCTGAGAGTTAAAAGTGTGCGTTTGCCAATTCATCACTATGTTGTGCTTTGTCTCAAAATGTTTGTAAATTACTGATCTCCTATTTTGATATGAAATATACTCACACAACGGACATTTCCTCTTGGTATACTTTTTTGTCCCGAGCATATGCTTAGTTTTTTCATGGTACTTGAGGGACTTCAGGTGACTAAATTTGGAAGAACACATTGAACATTTAAATTGTCTATTCGGATTTTCGTTTTGGTGTTTCTTCATTAAATGACGTTGCAAATTACTTTTGTAAAAAGTTTCGTAATCGCACTGATCACATTTCAACTTGGGCAAGGATTTATTGCTGTCTACATTGTGAACAACGTCATTGTGCCGTTGTAGAGAGCTTTTCTGATTGTACTGTTTTCCACATGTAACACAAATTACCTTCTCTGCTGGTTCCGCAGGCTCGCCAATAGTGTGAACGTTGTGAATGCGTTTTATATGACGGTTACAGTACTTTTGGTTCATAAAATCCTTGCCACAGATGTAACAAACTGCTTTACCCGCTCCACTCATCTGCAACCCAAGATGAGAAGATGAATAAGTTTTATACGCAAGTAAAACAAAATGCTACGTTTCATCAACAAAACTGAGAAGAATATGATTTACAGTGCAGAATTATTCACATCACTTCCCTTTTTTTTAGCGAAATTACCTATAGGGAAAGAGAAAAATTGGAAGGCCTGTTATGAACACATGTTAAAAGTCTCATTTATTTATTCCTTTTTATTTTGTTCAACCAACATAGTTACATGGCAACCCTTACGGCCAATGTCAAAATTTTTAATTTTCAAATGAGTTGTGTAGCAAAATACAAATTTTCCTGAAGTAGTCGCTGTCTTCAATTGTGTTTTTTGGCCAGAAATAAATTATTTACAACATTTGACGGAAATCGTCGAGGCCGTTTTCAAGATGTCTTTACAAGCACACAAGCATACATGTACAAGCAAATATTGCTCATACAAGTTAAGAGTATAGGATATGTGTGTGTGTGTCAATAAATGCAATAGCTTGAGTAATTTTGGTCTGATTTTGATTAAATACTGCATGAATGTGTATAGAGCTGGAAAAACCTAGATGAGTTTGCAAACTACCAAAAATGGGTCATGGGAACGAGGTGTTATGGAGTTTTGAAGTTTCTCAAAAGTTGGTTTTTTCAAACTTTTACCCTCAAAACATGTAAATGTCAAATTTCCATCACATCCGTTGAGCAATATTGTAAAATATATCATTGTTGTGCAGAAAATTTCAAAAACTGTAAGCTACATTTAAAATTTTCCATGTCATTCTTAAGAAGAAAAAAAACTGTTATAGTTTGCTTGTTTATGGATATACTAGCTGTGTACCCGTTCTACGCACGGGGATCTTATAATATTCAGTTGAAACCTTCTTATATAAAGAACAGCAGTTGGTTTGCATATTTTAAGATATGCTGGCCAAACTATTATACATAGCTTCATTTTATGTTGTTTTTTGTTGTTCCGGATCGGTATGACAATCAATAAAAGGTTAAATTACCTCTGTGTCTGCCGGTCGATCCTATAACGGTAGGCTTACTTTTATTTTTACTATCTGATCTCGTTTGCATGGCTCAATCACGTCCTGGTTGAAGTTCGTTCGCTACGCTCACTCACCTGTATGTTGGAGCTCGTTCGCTGCGCTCACTTTCCTTCAGGTTAGCTCGTTCGCTACGCTCACTTGCCTTCAGGTTAGCTCGTTCGCTACGCTCACTCGCCTCCAGGTTGCAAATTAGCTGTTGTCATAAATGTAAAAGAAATAATAGTGCTAGTGCTGCACCCTGTTGGTAATCCTTGTAACTTTAATGCTATTGAACATCACAGAACAGAACCAACTTGTTTAATTGAAACAGCTGTTAAGATTCAATAATTTCATTTCTCATAAGGTTAACATGGGCTTCCACAAATTCCACGTCAAAAATCGACAAAAACTTGATTTTCAAGGGTTTACTGTTAAATATCTAACTGTCTCATATTCGATGAAATACGTCTAAAACCATCTCATATATGTATAGTATTTGGAAAATAAGTTTCAGGCGGGACAGTGCTATAGTTATTGAGGAGTAGTTGTAATAAAGTGCGTATTTTAGCGTTACCAAGAGAATGACAGATAGACAGACAGACAGACAGACAGACAGACAGACAGAAATTGAGATAAGGTTTTATTCAGTTTCTCTGACCTATGAAATGTAAAAATAACCAAAAAGTTCATTATTCTAAGCAATGTACAGACAAAACTCTAATTTTATTTATATAGATAGATTTTGATCGAATTTATTTATTTCATCCAAGTATATACATTTGATCAAAGAACACTTTTTTCCTTCCCCGTAACAGCAATCCTAAGCACCGATTAACATAAACTCCTTAACCAAATCTTATATCATAAGCACTGGTCTAATGTTATTTAACACACTCACTACCGTGTGGAGAGAGACTTTACATACAGAGGAGTGTGACGGCTGGAACTGAACCTGCTAATATGGAATAAATAATATGACTTGTTTATGGCAAGTATTTTAATTCAAATCCAATCAGAATTTAAACTTACCTAGTCTGCAGGTTTGCTGTGGCGAGGGTAAGTTACTACACATCACTCACAGGCAAAATGTATTTAAAAGGCATAATTTTAAATGTATCTCTGTAGATACCTAACTGGGTTTGTCCCATTCAAATGTTTGACTTAGTTTTAGAATAAATTGGTTTGGATGACCGAGTTTACTGCTATAAAATATTATTTCTTTTCTTATACACAAATTTTTCAACAACACCAACTGAAAGATATGTTATTGTGAACGATGACTTCTTTTATGTCTAAATCACAGTGTGGAAAACTGAAAGAAGACAACTTCTATAGAGGGTTGCCACCTTTGGTTAGGGAAATATTAAGTCAGTTCCCCTTTCCCTACAGAACTAACACAGGTAAAAGGGCCCAAAGTCGAGACATACTCAGTTATTCTTTTTTTACGAGTAAACTGGTACAGCTGGTTTGACAGATAGGATGTCTACTTCATTATTAAAATCAATGGTTATATACCCCCGCCGCAGCAAACCTGCAGACTAAGTGAATTTCCATCTACCTGCCTGGAATTCCACTAAATTATTCCCTTAAAATTTTCAGATTTATTTCCTATTTAAATATCATTAATTTTAATGAGTACAAAGGTTTTGCTGCTACAGGGAAGAAAATAGGGGTTTTTATTGAAATACTGATAGCTTAGTACAAAGTAAACAAAATTTCAAAATGTCTTTAAAATAAGTCCATAGACAAGCAAGATATAACAGTTTATTTAGCCTATTCTCCATAAAGAATAACATAGTAATTTTAAATTGACACTTTTTTGGGATCTTTCCTGTAACCATTAGGCATACAACAATGATTCAATATACTAAATTATTTGTTTTTTTTTTAGTTCTACAAAATAGTTTGGAAAGAAATTGCAAAATTTTATGTTTTCAGGGTGAAAAATTAAGAAACCCCATTTTTACTCTATAAAACCCCCCATAAACCCCTGTTCCCATAGTTCAATCATGCTGGTTCGCAAACTTGTTTGAATACATGTAGGTTTACACCTTAACACCAAATTTCATCAAAGTCGGATAATTTTTGCTTGAGTTATCGTGCTAACGGACACATGTTTGCTTCTGGGGACCAAAAAAAAACTAAATCGGTCCCGGGCACAGGTATTACCATGAGACCTACGGTAATAGCTTATTCCCTATATGGGAAATTGGCTTATAACACTCAAGATATATTAAATACTAAAGCATTTTGAACATGGTGGTTGTTGTACGAGAACTAAATCCTTTAACTAAAATTTTATTTAAAAGTGCAACTCTATAAAGGCACCTCTTATCAACTTCCACCCTAGCTGACCACATTTAAGGAAGGCCACCTCCTCAGGTATGTAGGCCTGAACTCATCATAAGTTAGATACACTAGATCAGACCAAGACAGGATTAAAACCTTTAAGACTGCTTGGCCAGGTAGACCTATTGAACCCTCCGACTGCCTAGAGACTTGGAAATGGTTCAAGGCCAAGGTTAGTCCCAGATAGACCCAGTTAAGAGATAGGTTTCATTATACAAACTGTAACAACACTGCTTAACAACAAGCCCCAAGTTGTTTTTAACTTGTTTGTAGTTCTTATCTACTACCAGACTGTATCAAAAAGGTCATGTAGGTTAAAAATAGTTTAAGTACACGTCTCACTGCAAGATTTATGGAATCTGACACATTAGCATTTGGGGCTTAAAGGGTTTTGAGGTTATGTTTAATATGTAAATATAGTTAAACTTTTTGAGACTTAATTACAGCTTTGGGTAGGAAAAATGAGGAAAGATTGAAAGACACAAAATTATATCTAAGATATAATTTACTGGAATGTTGTGGAAAATTTGTAAACATGTAAACAAAAAAATGTATTTAAAAAAGAGAGATTAAAGCAAGTGTGACAAAGTAGAAAGAGAAAATAAGTATCCATGAGTACGAAAAAGCAAAAGAACAAACATCGTGAGGTATTAGTTTAACAAGGCCTAGATTTGAGTTTTATTTTATTGTAGTTTTAAGGCAGACATCAAATATTAGCAATAAAGATGACACAAAAATCAAACTCCATATTAGCATTTTTAATCTCAGACAATTACCTTTTTATTTAATATTTACTGCTGAATTTGACACGTTAATATCCGTTACTATTTTGACTATTTCTCTTCTCACATATTCAATCTGTTCGATTGATGTTAAATTTTTCTGTAAGAACCCCTCAAATTCACGAAACTCCTGGAACAACTTGACTTTTTTTAAATACAGCGTTGTATCGTGATCTTCAGTGTAACTATCAGGTTCAGAGGCAACATTATCTATATCTGCTTCTCCGTTGATTTCTTGAACGATGCCTTCTTCTATCACCACTTCCTTTTCTTCTATCACCACTTTATTTTCTTCTATCACCACTTCATTTGAGATTATGTCATTGTCTCCAATTACAGCAACTATAAAAGCATTCTCTTCAACAAGTGTTTCTTTTATTTTTGATTTTTCTCTTTCTCTTCTTTCTCTCATCGCTCGTTTGTACTTTCTACCACATCCGAGACCTCCTAGGGATATTCTCAAGTACATTGGATCTTTTTCGTGACCCACATGTACTGGTAAATATTTAACAACAACACTGTCACTTTCTTGATTTACAAACATAGCGGATGGACAGAATCCATTTATTTTACATGAACCTGAAGACTTCAGTTTCCTGATATTAGAACTTTTACTAACAAAGTTTCCACTTCTGTTACAAGTGTAGTATAAATCCTTCTCAGACCGAAATTTTGCCATGTAATACACGGCATTCTCTTGTTCAACACTCCTCTTCCACAGCTTGAAATCCTCCTGAGAGTTAAAATTGTGTGTTTGCCAATTCATCACTATGTTGTGCTTTGTCTCAAAATGTTTGTAAATTACTGATTTTCTTATTTCATATGAAACATAATCACACAACGGACATTTCCTCTTGGGATACTTTTTTGTCCCGAGCATATGCTTAGTTTTTTCATGGTACTTGAGGGACCTCAGATTACTAAAATTGGAAGGACACATTGAACATATAAATTTTCTAAGACTTTTCGGATTTTTGTTTTGGTGTGTCTTCATTAAATGACGTCGCAAATTAGATTTGAAAATAGTTTCATAATCGCACGTATCACATTTCAACTTGGGCAAGGATTTCTTGCTGTTTACATTATGAACAGCGTCATTGTGCCGTTGTAGAGAGCTTTTCTGACTGTACTGTTTTCCACATGTAACACAAGTTACCTTCTCTGCTGGTTCCACAGGCTCGCCAATGGTGTTAACGTTGTGAATGCGTTTTATATGACGGTTACAGCACTTTATGTTCATTAACTCCTTGCCACAGATGTAACAAACCGCTTTATCCACTCCACTCATCTGCAATTCAAGATGAGAGGATGAATAGATTTGGATAGAATTGGAAGGCCTTTTATAAACACATGTTAAAAGTCTTATGTTAACTTTTTTTTATTTTGATCAACCAACATAGTAACATGGCCAATATTAAAATTTTAAATTTTCAAATGAGTTGTGTAGCGAAATTCAAATATTCCTGAGGTAGTGGCTGTCTAAAATCACGTTTTAAGGCCAGAAACAAACTATTTACAGCATTTGAAGGAAATCTTCGAAGCCGTTATTGAGATTTCTTTGCAAGTATACTAGCATACATACATGTAAAAGCAAATATTGCTCATATAAGAGTATAGGATATGTGTGTGAGTGTCGATAAACACAATAGCTCGAGTAATTTTGGTCTGATTTTGATGAAATTCTGCATGAATGTGTAGGGCTGGAAAAACGTAGATGAGTTTGCAAACTGCCAAGTCTAATGGGCCATGGAAATTAGGTGTTATGGAGTTTTTAAGTTTCTCAAAAATTGGTTTTTTCAAACTTTTACCCTCAAAACATGGAAATGTCAAATTTCTATTACAGCTAATGAGCAATTTTGTATAATATATCATTGTTGTACAATTAAATTTGTTATACAGAAATTTTCAAAAACTGTAAGCTAAATTTAAAATTGTTTATGAAATTCTTAAGAAGAAAAAGAAAACTATTTCCATGTAATTCTTAAGAGGAAAAAGAAAACTGATATGATTTGCTTGTTATTGCAAATATTTTCATCAAATTTATTTATTTCATCTAAGTATATACATGTAATAAAAACACACTTTTTCCTTCCCCGTAACAGCAATCCTAAGCACCGGTTAACATAACATAAGCACTGGTCTAATGTTATTTAAATAGAGAATAAATAATATGACTTGATTATGGAAGTATATGAGTTAAAATCCAACCAGAATTGAAATTCACCTAGTCTGCAGGTTTGCTTTGGAGAGGGTAAGTTACTCTACTACACATCGCTTACAGGCAAAATGTATTTAAAAGGCATAATTTTAAATATCTGAAACATACCAAAATTCAATTCAATTAAAATTATCTACAATGCAGTTGTCTGCTTGTAATATTGAGCAGAGCTAGCGGAGACTAGGACGGTGGCAACGTCCTGTAATCCAGCTACTAGGTCACAAATTGTGGATTTTTATAGGCATGCACTGTGGATACGATACTCCCTGAGTGGATTAACGTCCGCACTAGTGAGTACTACGACTATCTGCAGCACTATCCTGATAATAAGACCCATTTGTTAATACCAAGGCAAAAATGTGGTTCGGATTCCACTAAAAACTGTAGGTCCCTTAGTTACCATTAGCTGTGTGGGCTATTAATTAACAGCTGTGTCTAAGGAATATGACGGCCTTAGTCACTAACAAGACTACAAGATCGCGCCACTCATATTACACTATACTTTCAGTATCCTAAGTCAATGGTTAATTTTTTTTATTCACGTAAATGGAAAGTCTACTTCCAAACTCAGTGGTAGGTCTATATTTGGTTCACATAAATGGAATGGCTATTTGGAGTATTTGAAGTCAATGGTACATCAGCCTAGTTACGGGGACTCTTATTATTGGTTTATTCATTTTGTGGTAAACTATGCTCAATGATATTAATCCAATTGTTCTTCTCTTTTTCTCTCTTCGGCATTTATAATGTGCTATTTTAGATGATTCGTTGACTAACATATGTTTCGACTCTTGTTTACCTTTTTATTGTTATCTCGCAAATAATCATGATGACCAATTAATTCATAAGGCCCATGTTAAATTTCTAAAAGTTTAAATCCATGTAGGGAAAAGCTTTGTGGTCCGATTTGTATCATTTCAGATCTATACCTTCCCGTGGTTGGGTAATGTGACTGTGTTAAATTTTATGCAGATCGCTTCAGCTGTTGTAAAACAAAAGCAGGAGTGTAGTATAAGAGCTTCGCTTCGCTCTGCTCAATAAATTTAGAATATATACTTTGATCAGTAGGGAAAGAGAAGTAAATTACAATTCATCAAATGAATTAAATAGTTTTGTTTTTAAATTTTTTGATATTTAATTTTGTATTGGCGTATTTGGGTTTCTTTTCAAAAAGGTGCAATTTATGAGGACTTAATGCTAAGCTGCCTCGATTTCTTGAATGTCCACTATTGACAGGGCTTTGCAAGCTGTGAGTTCCCACTGTGGGCCAGAAAGGCAGGGTTACAAAAGGCAAAATAAAAAGTTGTAAAGAGAACTAAAGATGAAGACCACATTAGCTCAACCCCAATATCAGGGTAGGGTGAGACAAAACGGCAACTTGTATGGGTATAAATTGACCCTTGATCAGCTGGCTTTAGCGGTAAAAGGAGAGACAATGTATTTTTACAGGAGAGGCAATGTATTTTTACAGGAGAGGCAATGTATTTTTACAGGAGAGGCAATGTATTTTTACAGGAGAGGCAATGTACAGCGTACTTAAATAACGCTTCTATGGGAAGCTGTCTAAACCGATCATATGTATTGTGGACGTGCCGGGAATCGAACCCGACCCTCCAGTACCAAAATCCAACCACTAAGCTAGCATCACCCCCTAATGTTATTTAAATCGGGAGTAGATCTGACGTGTATTACAACTACTCCGTGTATTTTATCCTGATTCTTCCATGTTAGTGTCACTATAAACAGATGCTGAAGGATGAAATTCTGGCCACCAACATGTGTGAGGCCTTTTAATCAGGATTGTTTGCCTTATGGAGCTCATTTACAGGAACAAAATATTTCTAGAATTTACCTAAAAAGTATGCAGTCGGGAGTAAAATGTAAATCGTAGGAATCGATAATTGTACTATGAACAATTTAGATTAGCTTAATAGCAACAGTTTTTAAAGATACTATCACAGTTGAGTGTCCATGTTATTTGTAACATGTTTGATAAAAGAATTTAACAATACAACTGTAATTGTATTCTCCAAACCGTGTGCGCCGGAACCTATGGTAACCATGGTAACTGCAGCATGGCTGACAGTCTATATTTATTTTTCTTGTCCATGCTCTTAAGCACGTGTCACACTAGGCTGCTTGTCAGCCGCTAATGACCAGCGTCCGTGGGACCTCGTAATGAATACTTAAGTGATTATTGAGGATATGTGAGAACTGGTTTTGAAAATGCAACAACTCAACTGTAAGCTGCTTCTTGACGTTCCTACTACTATGATGAAACGTCCCACAAGCAGGCATAGTTTTGGAATAAATTTAAGAAATCAATAACCTGCTTCCCGACCACTTAAGCTAAGTCATTTCTACGCTACAAATTTCTACTTTTAATTGCCTAGTTTAAAGCTCAGTTCTTGTCGCCATTTCGTGCTTGGGTCCTTATAAACTAGCACTTAATCGATTTTTAAGGATGTGTGTGAAAGAGAAAGAACTTTATTTAAAAATGTTAACCGCGAGAAGAGGCGTTAGTGGACCAAGCCTTACATACAAAAAAATAGAGCAGTTAGGAGCTTCTGCATGCCGGTTGCAAAAAATAAAAAAGAGGAATCAGAGACATAGGCCTGTAAAAATGTTTTACGAATGTCACCACATACATTCCAAGAATTGCTAGAATTATTTAAACCTCGAATTAAAAAACAAAAAACACACACACACACTGGTGCTTTTGTATAAAATCAAGTTGAAAATTATCTTTGGTTGCCGCTGGCACGCTTCTAGAGGTGGTCAGACTACGCTGCTGACTGGCACAGCGAGTGCGAGTGATCACGTGAACTCTAGTCGCCGCCGCCTCACTACCAAAAGTTGAACATGTCCGACTTTGCCAGCCGCTGACAAATACTCGCTGGCTGGCAATGTCAGCTGCGAATGTTGTGGTCCCATTAAGCTGACAGTAGCGGCTTCTTTCAGTTTGCCGCTGATGCTAGCTTAGTGTGACCCGAGCTTTTACCTAGACTATCAGCTACGTCAGAAATTTTTGATTTAATAAACTTTTTAGAAATTGACAACTATGAGAACATTGAAAGTTGGGCAAAGGTCAATATATCGGTTGGGTACCTAAAATGGTAAAACCTGATGGACTTTCACTCATGATCTGTATATTCAAAGGAAGCATGTGACTATTATTTTTATTAAAGTCGTATGTTTTTATATTTGACTAGTTAACCGCCCGTGCTCTGCCAAGGGAATATTGTCAGCAATAAAAGACATAATAATTAACAAATAGCCTACTGTTTATCTTTGTATTTTATTTAGGGGCTGCTTAACTTATTACATGAAATAGAACTGATAGTTTGCCTGTATAAACTATTTTATGTTAATCAAATCGATATATTAGTTTAACCAAATGAATGGTTAATATTAATTCGAGTGTACATGTTGCAAAGTATTATAGGAGTTATTTCAAAACGAATAACAGTCATAGTTACAATGAGTTTAAGAGAGTCAACTCAAAGATTACCGGTGTGTAACTCAGACCATGTTTATCTTCGTTATTGATAAACCTAAAGCATTCCGGCCGGTTTTCTCCTTCTCAAAATGCCTCGCTGTACAGGCAACACAGGTCATTGATAGAGGGCCAATTGAGAACGAAAAGTCGTTTTGGGGTAGTGTTAGGGTGCATTTGTAACCTAATAGTTGAGATTGTCCAGGGTGAGGTGCTGACTGTGAAGGGGACGATGTCGAAGTTGGACAACGGTAAACGTGGACTACAATAAAAACAGACACCGCCTCAATCAGACAACGATAAAAGCAGACAACGACGAAACTGGACACATTCAAAAGTGTCCAAGTTTAACGTTGCACGCAAACGACAATCCTGGAAACTTAATCTGTCCAACCTTATCGTTGTCCGCGTGTGTCGTTGTCCAACTTCGGCGCGGTCGTCCCCTGTGATGAGTTAAGCCTATTACGCCACTGTTCTGTAGCTGCGGTCGTTATCACGATTACACCTCCTGTCTATGTGTCGTTTCGTCACGTCGGAGGCATTTAAAAGAATAAAACAACAAATAAACAAATTA